GACTTAAGACTAGTTGGAAAATAAGTAGCGATAATGTTTGTAACTGTGCTTTTTGAAGGCTGAGATTTGACGCAGATTGATATCAGATAGCAAGATAAGATTCAACTCTCCTGTCCCCACAAGTTTGAATTAAAAGTGATTGCATGTGGGTCTCTCTATGAGCATTTGCTCATAGATAGGAAAGATAGGAATGACTGTTACAGTTATACTTCATTACTCATCAGTTACTCATTGTCCTGCATCTTTAGGATGATTTGCTCTTGTTCCTGTTATTTAATTAGCAGCTTTATAAAAAGGAATATGAATCCATGTATTACAGTAGCTGTTTAAAACAGAGGCTGTTAACAGCTGGGCCTTTCTTGCTTGCTTAAACACAAGCAGCTGTACCTGCATTTGGAGTGACAGATATCTTGAGCCAATATGTCAGCTGGCTAGGACTGATGGGAGCTACAATCCAGCAGCATCTGGAGTATCGCACTTTGCCTATTCTTGTTATTGAGTATCCTTTCTGTAAACTGATTGTTGTTGTGTGCCTCCAGGTCATTTTTTACTTATGGCAAACCTATCCTGGGGTTTTCTTGGCAAGATTTCTTCAGAGGAGGTTTGCCATTGCCTTCCCCTGAGGCTGAGAGGGTGTGATTTGCCCAAGGTCACCCAGTGGGTTTCATGCCCAAGTGGGGAAGTGAATAGCCAATCTCCAGAGTCATAGTCCCACACTCAAACCACAACACCAAGCTGCCTCTCTTACAATTTGTGATATTGACACACATAATTCTTCGTTTCAGAATTCAGGCATCTGTTTGATCCTTGTTCTTTCAGACATGAAGCAAGATGGAAAATATATTGTACTGTGATTTTTGAAATGTTTGATAACCTTTCCAACTAATTTGAAATTGGATCAATTACCCATTTGAAATGAGAGCTATTAAATTTGTTTTAAGCAGACAGTTTTGTGCCAGATTCATACTTGATGGGAGCAGCAGCACATTTTGTTGCTTCATTGCAGTTTTAGTTTGGAAGAGCTGGGAAAACATTTTTGACCCAGTTGTTTCCTAATGTTTGGTATGTGGTATTGAAGATTACTGTTTGACTTCCTATTTTTTTTAAGAGAAAACAAACCTTATGTGTGTAACTTTCAGGAAACGGGGTAGTTATACATTTGCCGGGCTTATTTGAAGAAGCTGAAAAAAATGAGAAGAAAGGTATGTATCTAATACTTGAATAGTTTTTCCTTTAAGGTGAGGGTTATATGTTGGCAGTTAATTTTACCCTTTTCATGGAAACTTAAAATTCCATATTAGAAAAGCTAATCCATTTATAAAAGCTGCTATAGTGGGCCCTTGGTATCCAGTGGGATTTGGTTCCAGGACCACCCACCACCCCTCGATACCAAAATCTGTGCATACCTAACTTCCATAAAATATAGTGGCACAGTAAGATTGTGTTCCTTGCATAAAGTAGCAAAATAAAGGTTTGCTTTTTGGAATTTAAATATTTTTTTAAAAAAATTCAAGCTATGCTTGAATCAGTGGATTAAAAAATCCATGGATATAGAGGGATGACTGTACTTTATCCAGGCCAAGAGTTGGCTATAAAGCAGAGGTGAGCAAAGTGTGGCCCATGGGTCACACATGGCCCCTGAGGGCTGTTTATAGGGCCTTTCTGGGGTCGAACATTTGCTCTGAAATGCTCCCAAATGATTTCTAGTGGGTGTGGAGAGCATTTCTGCCCTGTTTGGAGCTTTGCTGGACCATCCTTAGGGATCAAAATGGAATGTTGCAAAAAAATAAATCTTTTTTTCTTTTTCTTTTTTTTGGCTCAGAATTCCTGAA